ATTCAGGGTTAATTTCCTTTAGCATTGGCCAGACCCACTGTCAACCTTGTCCTCAGTTAGCCCTGTGATACTGTGAGCCTCAGATCCTATGAGAGGCATCTGTTGAGCCCACTTCAAGGGATCACATGGGTTCTTGGGTGAAAGTCACTTCACACAATTCCTTGCATGTAAAAGCCTCTCAGTGAATCATAATAACGATACTAGCAGCCAGTAGTTTCAGGGTGCGGGAGGTGAGCTGGGCTTTGCCTTACCCATGTGAGCTCACTAAATCCTCATGACTGCCTCTGAGAGAGGGACTATTCTTGTCCCTTGGCGTGGTGAGGGGTGGCCGCAGTGGACACGGAGGCATCGTGAGAGTGTAGCCACTTCATTAGCTTTCCTCTGTCCCCCTGTCTGGAGGGTAGGGCCTCTCCCTTCCTGAGTGGCAGTGGAGTCACAAGAGCACTGCAGGTGGTCAGCAGTCAGGCTGAATGAGTGAATGCATCCATTCATTCTGACATTGCTCTGGGGGCTGGCACAGAGGGGTGGTGTTTTTCTTTGGCACTTTGGTTAGTAGAGGCTTCCTGAGCCCTGCATGTGTGTGAAGACACCATGCCAGGCACAGGTAGCCGGAGAACTCAGGGCTCCTGGGGCAGAAGGAAAAGGGCAGGGGGGTACTCGGGCCCCAAGCATATGAGGAGCAAGTGGAGCTCAGGTGGACGTGGTGAGGGCTTCCTGCTAGAGGCGGCCTTTGGAAGAAGAGCCTAAAGATGAGTGACGTGTTTCAAGGTAAGGATGGAGCATCCCAGGCCTACATCTGGAGGCCCAGCGGTAAGGGAGTGGCTGCCCTGGGTTGGGAGTTGCTGGGCAGGTAGAACACTGCTGAGGTTGCTAGTGGTTCTGGCATTGGTGCCTCTGCAGGTGGTACAGGTTTGGCTGGATAGGACTATGGCTGGTGGCCTGAGACCAGGCCATGCTGGATTGGAGGTGTGCAGAGTTGGGCAGGACTACTCAGAGTGGGTTTTTAGATCCCGGAGGGCCTCCCTCTGAACTGAGCCCAGCCATGGACAGGAGAAGAGCAGTGGCTCCTGTGGGCGGCCCTGAAATGCCGGGGACCTCTGCCCCACAGGCTGAGCACACATGCTGGTGGAACAGTACTTGCGGAGATGGGACCCAGCCTCAGGGCACCCCCAGGCCCCTTGACCTCCTCTTCATTACCCTGAGCCCCTGCCACCCTGGTTGGACCCAGGAGCCTGGCTTGTCCTTGATGCTGGGGCCCCGGGAGCCGAGCGGGCCTCCTCTCCCTCCCCCGACGGCAGTGTCTGAGTCTGGGCAGAGGCGTCGGCAGGGCTGACTGCCACCATGGGCCTGTGGGGGCGAGCGGCTCCCCCGCGCCAGCGGGCGCCGTCTCCCCAGGAGATGAGTCACAGCCGTGTCGGTGCGCCTGCCACTTCTGCTTCTGCAGCAGGTGCGAGTGGGGGCGAGCAAGTCCCCGAGACCACCCCTACATGCCGGTGCCCGTCTCCTCCTCCACGCATGCATCGCATCATGCCAGCGGGGCCCCTCGTGTGCACACGCACATACATGCCCGCCCCCGCCCCACCACACACACACCGAGTCTGCATCTGGGCTCTGGGGTGAACCTTCCAGCCAGACGGCGGGATGCCCAGTTTGGGAACCCGGGTTAAGTTTGCTTCTCACTAAGCCTGGGGTGGAGGGGACAAAACAGGAAGGAGCTGGTTTCCGCCCACAAGGCCCACCCACAAGCTACAGGGCAGTTGGGAGCTTGCTCACACGCCTGTATCCCGGTGAGCCGGGGCCTCCCCGCCTGAGGTGATGAGGCAGCAGCTGGTGGCTCATGGGGAGCTCCCAGGGGCCCTGCTTCCTGAGTCTGCTGGGTAAGAACCTCAGCCATGAGCAGATTCAGCCTAGAGGGCTGGTGGGAGTTTGTGGGGCAGGAATTCTGGGGGGAGAGGACAGACTTCGGCCTGGGCTCTGCTCAGTTTAGTTCAGTCCAGGCACACATAGGGCAAGGGCCCCACAGGAGGGAGGGTGTCCAGGGGTCTCCTCTTTGTTGTTTAAAACCGTAGCCTGCGCGGCCTCCCTGTGAGACTGGAATGGCAGCCCTGGGACTAGGGGCTACCCTGGGGTCCCCAGCGACCTCCTGGGAGGGCAGGGCTGCTTCTAGCCCAGCTGTGCCGAGGAGCAGGCTCTGCTTGTTTTCCTGTTCTTCTCCATCCTGCCCAGGCTCTCCGGGCTCCCAGACCCCCCGGCAGCACCCCCAGGTGCAGAGAGTGTGAGCTGTCGGTCACCTTTGGCCTGTGCCTCTGGGCCTCACTCGTTTCCGCTGACCCACATCACATCTGGGCTGCAGAGGGACTGGTTCCCCGAGGAGGGCTCCTCACCCCCCAGTTCTAGGCCCGCAGTTTTCCTCCCAGAAAGCATGAGTAATGCTGAAGTCACTCAGTGTCACTTTCCAGTTAAGAAGGACTTTTTGTTTGCAGTCTCCTCCTAGAGCCACATCATCAGACTTAGGCCACGGAGGCCTGTGTTCAGACTTAACCCGCCTGAGACCAGCGGGCTTCCCAGGTGGTGCTAGTGGTAAAGAATCCACCTACTAACGCAGGAGACATAAGCGGCTGAATTCAATCCTGGGTCCCTGAGGTCGATTCCCTGGAGGAGGGCATGGCAACCCACAATAGTAATCTTGCCTGGAGAATCCCATGGACAGAGGAGCCTGGAGGGCTATGACCCATAGGGTCGCAAAAAGTCAAACACAACTGAAGCAACTTAGCACGCACACCTGAGACTCTTAGAAATGCGCAGATTTACCCCATGATCCAGGGTGCATGTGTGCTCATGTATAACATCAGGAAGTCAGTTCAAAGGTGATATTCCTCCGTAGTCTGTGCTCACACTTGATAGCTTCTATTTTATTCCCTCCGCTTTCCCCCTCCTGCTGTCTGGTTCAATGTCACAACACACTTCATGTGTCATGACCTGCAGTCTGAAGACCGAATAGAATGGGAGTGGGGGGTAGGTGTTATTCTTACGCCCATTTAACAGATGAGGAGACTGAGTCCAGACAGGCTCTGAAGTTCGCACTGGGACCCCGAGCCAGGGAGGGGCAAGACTTGTACCCAGGGTATCAAAAAAAACAGGCAAGAGTGAGAGGAAAAGGGAACAGGGGTGGAGTTGCTCTTCCCCAGAGGTCAGGGCAGCAGCTCCAGTGAGGTGACTTCTGAGCAGAGACAGGAAGGAAGCCAGGGGCTGGCCAGGCAGAGAGGGTGTCCGGGCAAGGGAAGAGCAAGCATGGGCAGTCAGTGACACCGTCCTCCCTTCAGCCTGACCTGACTTGACCAACGTGACCGAGGGCCCTGCCCGGCCAGGTGCAGTACACAAGGCTCAGACCCCCACTCCCTCAAACTTACGGCACCTTTTCCTGGAAGTCTGACCTCTAGGACCTAAGCTGCCTGCTTTGCTGGGGTTCAGGTGTCTCCAGGCATGAGTGAGCACGTTGGTCTTCTGCTGACTTCCTGTGATGAAGGTGCAAGTCAGACAGAGGTGTGAGGTGCTTTCCTAGCAAGCCACGCTCCTCCAGAGCCCCCTTCCCCCTCCTGCCCCTGCTGCCTTGCTGACCTCAGCCCGGTCAGAATGCCGTAGGCAGAGGTGGTAGCACAGACGTGGGTGCTCAGCGCTGCTTCTCTTTCTGGGGCCGCTTCTGGGGTTTTCTCTCCGTGAGAGGTGCTAGAAAAGTCAGCGTAGGGCGGGCTTCAGGAGACAGGCTGCCCCAGCCCGGCACTCCCGGGAACTGGGACCCTAGCGGGTCCTGTATGCTATTACCTTGCCGGCTCCTTCTCTAGCTTGAGCCCTGGTTCCCTCCCTGGGGTCTGCTGGACCCCACTCTCCATCTGTACCATGGCAACTAGTAGAAAGCTATTATTGAGCACTTATGATGTGAAGGGCCGGGCATGGGGCCTTGCTTCTGATGACTGGGGGCTTCTGGGGAGATGTCATCAAACAAGGTGGGTACTGCTGGAACTAGAGAGGAGACTGGGGAGGTGGGGGAATGGCTGGGGTGGGGGTCGGCTCCTGGAGAAGTGAGTGCCAAGGTGGTAAGCAGGGTAGGGTGGGATTAGTCAGTGGGGTAAACTGTTCTGCAGTGTGAGTTGGGACTTTGTGAACACTGGAAGCCACTGAAGGTCTTTGATTGTGTCTCAGGTGTCTGAGGGAGATTAGCTTGGTGGGATGTGCATGAGAGTTTGGATGGGAACAAGGGAGGAAGCACAGCAGGGAGGCCAGTACCTGTCATCTGGGAAGAAAAAGCAACTTGACGACCCTCCTTCCAAAGGCCAAGTCAGCTGAGCAGGCGGCCAACTCACCATGAGGGCTTAGGAGGAGGGAAGAGCCAAGACTCAGACTGGGGCCCTGCTGACCTTTTCTGAGGAGTGCAAGTTAGTTGCTCAGTCGTGTCCAACTCTTGGCGACCCCATGGATTGTAGCCTGCCAGGCTCCTCTGTCCGTGGGATTTCCCAGGCAAAGATACTGGAGTGGGTTGCCATTTCCTCCTCCAGAGAATCTTCCCAACCCAGGGATCAAACCTGAGTCTCCTGCGTTGCAGGCAGATTCTTTATCACCTGAGCCACCAGGGAAGCCCTTTCTGAGAAGGGATGGGTAGTTTTGAGGGGAAGCTGGTGCCAAGGGACCAGAGCTCTTTCTGGAGAACCTCTTAGAGCAGCTCGAGGTCGAAGGCAGAGCTTAGACTGAGCTGCAGGCCTCTTCTTCCGTAGTGTGACCTGTGGACTTGGTCTCACGGGAGACAGCCAGCCATGGGGGTGGCACCTTCGCAGTGAGGACAGGAGAGCTGGTCACTGTCACACAGAGGGCACCGTGCCCGGCTCAGGGGATCCAGAACGCAGAACGGCCAGGAGCCGCAGAGCATGGTGGGCTGATGGGGCATGCCTCCCTCTGAGCCTGTGTCTGCAACACCCCTGAGGACCTTCCTCTGTCTCTCTCTGCAGTGATGGGTCATTCCCCTATGACTCTGTCCCTTGGCAGCAGAACACCAACCAGCCTCCCGGCTCCCTCTCCGTGGTCACCACGGTTTGGGGAGTGACCAACACATCCCAGAGCCAGGTAAGAGCCTGTCGTCCCTCCCAGCCACAGCCCCTTCCAGGCCCTTCCAAACCATCCATCCTGGTCACGTTGCCATGCTGGCTCTCCCAGGCTCTTCCCCTGCTGGAAAGACCAGCTGTCCGGTCACACCCAGCTGTGGACACGCCTCTACCCAGGATGGGCCCACACCCGCCCCAGGAGGATGGCACCTGGCCCTCTGCACTGCCACAGCCCTAGGGCCTTGCTGGGGCAATGGCTTTCACCTGACAGAGAGCAAAGGGCTCTTTCCTGGCTCACGTTTACTTAGGTTGGATTAACAGGGGAACTTCCTGGATGTTATTGAGCTCAGGGCCCCAACACCTGGAGTCTTTGACCCTGGATGGCCTGGGTTAGATTTCAGCGAAAGATTGAGCCTAAAACTTGTGACAGACTCCACCCCACATCCCTCGTCTACCCTGCCTCCCGCTCTTGTTCCTTCCTCTTTCCTCCACACCTTCCTTCCCGCCTCCTGGCCACGTGAATGGCTCAGGGCCACTTGCCACCCTGGAGAGAACCAGCGCACTTTACCTGCGGTCTTGGGCCGCAGGGAGCCCCTTGGCCAGGACCCTGCCACCCTCCAGAGCTGGAGGGCTGGGCTTCCCTTGGCCCTCACAGAGCAGCAGCGCCGGGCCTCCATGTGGCCTGACCCTTGGGCATCCAGGCTGCGTGGTAGGACAGGAAGGCTGAGAAATCCAGGCCTTCCCCACCTGCAGCCAGGTGCAGGACCAGCCTCACCTTGTTCCACCCTGGGATGACGTTCTCATCTACAAAGCCTACTTCTGGGCTGGGTTACCCGCTTCTAATACTGTGTATACTACTTCTAACTACTGTGCCAGCAGTTCATGCCGAGGAAATTGAAAAGCCCCCCCCCCCCACCTCTTTCCTCCTCCTCTTTCTCTGTTGCCTTCCCTTTGTTTTGATGCTTACCCCACCCCCACCCCCTGCCATTTCTCCTTTTCCCTCCCTGCACCACTTGGGGTACCTGCGTGGGTGACAGCCACTCTCTGCCCACAGGTCCTTGGGAACCCTATGGCCAATGCCAACAACCCCATGAATCCAGGCGGCAACCCCATGGCGTCGGGCATGACCACCAGCAACCCCGGCCTCAACTCCCCACAGTTTGCTGGGCAGCAGCAGCAGTTCTCGGCCAAGGCCGGCCCCACTCAGCCCTACATCCAGCAGAGCATGTATGGCCGGCCCAACTACCCCGGCAGCGGGGGCTTCGGGGCCAGGTGAGCAGGGCCGGCCTGCAGGTCACATGCAGCGCAGCTGGGGGGGCATTCTGAGGGCCGTCAGCCTGTAGGGTTGAAGGACAACCTTTTCATTCCCCCGAATGACCCTGCTCTGCGTCGCACCTTTCCAAGTTGGGAGACGCCGAGAGAGCTGGGGTGCAGGAGGGTCCGCTCTGCCGTGCTGCTTGTGGAGGCGGAAGAGCGCAGGGACTGGAGGCCCGCGGTTCAGGAGTAAGGGAGGGAAACGGAAAGGAACCGAGGAAGGCACTCAGGGGACGCGGGCAGGGGTGCCCCGTTCCTCCCCTCGCTGTCCATCCCCCCTGTCCAGGACTGCCCTGTGCCCTCGCCCCTCCCAGATCCCCAGGGCTGACCGCAGCCCTGCCAGGGGTCAGTGCAGTGGGGCCTCCTGGCTAAACATAGCTGCATCCCCATCCTGCCATCTTCTCCTGGAGGCCGTGGGCCAGTGGCTCAGGTTCTCTGAGACTCGGTGTCCTCCTCCAGGAGATGGGCTCACTGGGGTGGCCAAGAGTGCCGTGACCTAGGGTGTAGGAGCGAGCACCCACTAGGACCCAGATGGGGCTCCAGGCACACAGCAACTTGGTGGTTCCCAAGTGGCCCGAGGGACTGACAGCCCACAGGATGAGGCCCCTGTCCCCCCCGGGCTCTGAGTCTGGACCTCCCCGCTCCATGAGCTGTGGGCAGAAGGGCCTGGAACGGCCCGACCTCTCTCTCCCCACCCAAGGCTGGTCATGGGTTAATCTTTAGGCTCAGGCAACATCTAACTCACCCTTCTTTTCTCCCTCACAGTTACCCTGGGGGTCCGAATGCCCCAGCAGGCATGGGTGTCCCTCCACACACCAGGCCACCCGCTGACTTCACTCAGCCAGCAGCTGCCGCTGCAGCAGCTGCAGTGGCGGCAGCAGCAGCCACGGCCACGGCCACAGCTACGGCCACCGTGGCAGCCTTGCAAGAAACACAGAATAAGGATATTAACCAGTATGGACCGGTAAGGGCCACACTAGTCCTGGTCCACTCAGCAGACAGCCCCGGGGATTGGAGTTGGGCTGTCCGCGTCTGTGTGTGGGGAGGAATGGATGGTGTGAGGGTGCATTTAGGTTTTCCTAGAAGCACAGGGAGGGGTTATGTGTTGAGGTGTGGGTGTGTCAGTGTGAATGAGAGTTGTGGGGGGTGTTTGGGAGCTTGTGTTGGTTTTCCATGTTGCTTGTATATCTCTGTATGGGGAAAGATGTTCCATATTGCAATCTGGCCCCCACTTAACGGAAGAGCAGGCTGTGTCTAAAGCAGCCTCAATGCCAGTCTGTCCCCTGGTGTCCTCTGAAGACCAGGGCTCCGCTAGTTGTCTCATCTGTGGATTTTGCCCAGGTCCCAGCTCTGACATTCAGAAGGATGGGATGGGATGTGAGGAGAGGGGGAGCACTTGCAGAAATGCAGGACGGGTGTGGAGGTTGGGGACTTAAGTTAGGGGACAGCAGGGCAGGTGGGCAGAGATAGGCAGAGCTGAGTCCACCTCAGACTTGATGGATAGAGGGTGTGTATCTATTGGCTGAGAAACAAGGGCGGGGCCAGGGCTTCCAGGAAAGGGGCTCTTGCCTCCATCCTCATCCACCGCCATTCTCCCATGCCCCTCCCCACCCCTGCACCCCCTTTCCCGTTCCCTGCCTGCCTCCCTGGAAATGCTGCCTGTGCATTGGAGTGACTGCGCCCCACCCCTTAACACTCCCCGGGCTGCATCTTTCCTGTGCGGCCTGCAGAGGGCAGCCATGAGCCCAGGCGGCTGGTGGTCCTTTGGAGCCAGGTCACCAGCTGCAGCCACACAGGAAAGTGCCCCAACTCCCAGTCCTGAACCCCCCACTTCCCCCACCCTTCCTTCCCTGCACTTTCAATGCATGTGGCATTTTATTCTTTTTTTTTTTCTTCTTCTCCCGTTGAAGGTCTGTTCCTCTTTCCAGATGGGTCCCACCCAGGCGTATAACAGCCAATTCATGAACCAGCCCGGGCCTCGGGGGCCTGCCTCCATGGGGGGCAGCATGAACCCCGCAAGCATGGCGGCTGGCATGACACCCTCGGGGATGAGCGGCCCTCCCATGGGCATGAACCAGCCCCGGCCGCCCGGCATCAGCCCCTTTGGCACACACGGGCAGCGGATGCCCCAGCAGACGTACCCGGGCCCCCGGCCCCAGTCCCTTCCCATTCAGAGCATAAAGAGGCCATACCCTGGAGAGGTGAGTGTGGTAGCAGGCAGACGGCGGGCAGGATGGGTGGTGGGGAGGACCTGGGACTTGCAGACACGGTGCTGTGGGCAGTACCTTGAAAAGGACCTGGATTGACCCTCAGGGAACCCGAACCAAAAGGCAGCGTCTTAGGAGTCAGGTGCTTCTGAGTTTAAGGTCAGCGCTGGCATGTCCCATCGAGAAGACCTTGAGCAAGTCACGTCTTCTCCTGGAATCTCCGTTTATTTCTTTCATGACCACCCAGCCCACGTCATGGGGCTGCCTGGAAGTTTTGAATGAGGGGAGGTACCTGGAGCTCCTGGCCCTGGGGCTGGCGTGAGCAGACACTCAGCAAGCAGTGACTGCCCTTAGGACTCTCTGCTGTCTTAGCACAGACAGTAGCTGGGCGACCTAGGGTAAGGCACTAAGATCTCCTTGGGTCCACATTCCTCACACCCACGTGAGGGCATCTCACCCAAAGAGAAAGGAGACAAAGCCCTGTGACGATCTGAAGGCCCTGCACCTTGGAGAAATGATTGGAAGGCAGGCAGCATGTTCCTGGGGCCCTGCCAGGAGCAAGGCTGCCTATCAGGCTACCTGGCCAGGTCATCCATAGGATCAGGGAAGACCAAGGGAAGCAAACCCATACCTCCTGTCCTCCAGGAGCCAGGACTTCAGCCGGAAGGGTGAGGTCTAAGCTGGAAGCCACAAAGGAATGATGCACAATGGGGTGTTTGGAACTCATCATGAGGTCTGAAGAAGAACTTCCTGGAGGGGGCGTCACAGGGCCTTCAGAGAGCACTCAGAAAATAGGTTGGCAGTGAATGGCCTATGTGGGTACCTAGGTAAAGGTTTAGTTCACCTGCAGAAGATACAGAGATGCTTCTCGGAAGGCCCACCTTGATCCCTCACCTGGATGGAGCCTGTCCCGAGCATCTCCCAGTATCTGCTTGCACACCTTTTCTCAGCTTGGCTTCACCCCCTCTCAGGACTGTGCCTTCTGCTTGGGCTTAAATGTGGGGTTAGAGCCAAGACCTTGAGTTCCTCAAAGGTCTGTGTGCTTCCCCTCGGCATCCACCGCACCCTTGGGCCAGAAGATGGCTTGGCCATTGACGGAGATGCCCTGGGTCCAAGACAGAGGAGGTCAGGGTCAAACAAGGTCAAGCCCAGACATCCTCCAGGTTGGCACCAGCTCAGAGAGAAGCCAGAGGAGGATGGCAGCTCCCGAGGCCCTGGCTGTCCTTGAGGATGGGAGGGGCCCTTGACCTGTGCACCTCAACTCCCAAGCACAGTCCCGACACGAGTTCAGAGCCTTCTCAGCCCTCTCTGTGTTCAAAATCCCAGCATCCCCACTGGCTGGGCTGGGACTGCATCTGTAGGCCCAGCCTCGGGACTGCTGGCACCCAAGGAGGTGACCACAGAGGAGGCAGCAGAATTCCCAGCATCAGCCCGGTGTCAGCCCTGCTCCTGTACGTTGCTGGCTCCCCAGCTCTTGCCTGCCACAGCAGGGCACACCAAAGGCTCTCACTTATCTTGACTACCTTTGTCTTTATCTGCAGTAAACTGCTGATGCTACCCAGCTACCCAATGCCTGACACTGGGCGGTGGCATCAGGGGCCACAGTCTGCACAGCTTGAGCCTGTCTGGGAATCTCTAAGTACATACACACTCGTAGAACCTCTCAGGTTGTCGGAACCCTGGGGCAGGGGCTGGCGTCAGTCACCTGGTCCCGCACAGGACTCTGCTGGTGGACAGTCCCCAGCCTCCACTTCCTGTCCTGCAGTGAGGTGACAGGAATGCCACTGTAACACAGAACAGCTGCTGTGTGACAGTAATGTGAGCTGCGCCATGTTCTTCACTGTTGATGCAAACCTGGTTTTCCTTCATCGCTTACCCTTCTTTTATGTATTGAGCAAGTTTTCATTGCTGGCCTATTCTCTGCCAGACCCTGGGACACAACCATTTCCTACACCTCCGAGCCGAGAGGTCAAGAGAGACAGCTAATAGACAAGGGGTTTCAACAGACAGGGAAGCAGCACTGACTCTGCAGGATGTAATGACGTGGGGTGCCCCAGGGTCACCTGATCTTACAAATGAGGAGGCAACTGGAAGGTGGGGAGTGGCTCTCCCAGCACAGTGATCCTGCCCCTCCCAAGAATGGTTGCCTTCCCCGAGAGGGGTTGTCTTGTCCCTTCAGCAGCCTGGTTCTCCCGACCTCTGCGTGGACAACCCAGAACTCAGCATCAGTGTGTTCTGCTCAGTGTGGGGTAGGGGGACAGAGCCTCCCAGATTCAGGGGCTCAGCTTTGCAGATGTGCCTCCTATTGTCTGTCACAAACCAAGCACCAGGAGAAACCCAGAGGGGGCTTCAGAATCAAGTGCCCGCCTGATGGTATGAACAAGAGGCTCTGGAAGTGCCCAGGGGCGTGGGGCTTCCAGAAAGACAGCTTCCAGGGGAGGTGGCCCTTGAGAAGAGAGGCCAGCTGTTACGTCCCTGCATGTCAGGGCAGGAAGGGGCCCCAGGCATCATCTGGTTCAGCTGCTCCTCTTTGCAGGCGGGGTGGACGTTTTGTGGGTGGCAGCCGTCAGGGGCAGAGGAGAGGAGAGGAGGCAGCCCCAGCATCGGCGGGCAGCTTGGCTTCCAGACACTGATGACCTTCCCTGCTCCTTTCTCTGCCACCACAGCCTAACTATGGAAACCAGCAATACGGACCAAACAGCCAGTTCCCCACCCAGCCAGGCCAGTACCCTACCCCCAACCCCCCGCGGCCGCTCACCTCTCCCAACTACCCCGGGCAGCGGATGCCCAGCCAGCCAAGCACCGGGCAGTACCCGCCCCCTACGGTCAACATGGGGCAGTATTATAAGGTGAGTCCCACTGCCCCACGGGCCCCTTCCCTCCTCACCAGCTCAGCTCCCTTCCCCCTCCTGTGTCATCCTAGCCCTGGGCACCCCCTGAGGTCACCAGGGGGCCAGTGGAGATTTCTGGATGTGACTGCGTATGCTCTGAGCTGTGCATAATGACAGACTGACTTTTCTTGGTTCCTGTTCTCACAGGGCTCAGACGATGATTTTCTTTCTCCTTTTACTATTTATAGTGCATGTAAGATAATAACAATGAAGGAAATATATTTTTTTAAGAAAAAGCACCTGCTTGAATATATTTACGTTTGATATTCTATGCACATGGGCACCAACAATGTTATACGGTTGTTATTACGGTTGTAATTTTGAACCTGTTTCTTTCACTTGACACAGTGTGTTACTTATTGCTACAATCCCAGTGGTTGTCACTTTTAATGGCTGCCTAACATCCTACTGAGAACCATACGGCATTTTATCCTTTCTGTTGGACATGTGGGGTTTTTTTTCTGTGGTTTCACTTTTGAAATAGTACAATAATATTTTCAGGCACGTAACTCTTTCCTTCTTTGGGATTACTATAAAGTACATTCTCAGGAGCGAGGAAAACTCTGGAAATAATTTACACCTATTTGCTCATGAATCACGCCAATTTACATGATCACCCACTACTTGGCTTACGTGGGCTTACTATTTTTACCCCAACTTCATCACATTAGGTGTTGCTATTTCTATAAACTCACTAAATTAGTAGTGATGGGCAGAGAGGCAAAGCACTGAAGACCGCAGTGACCTGCTCTGCCCCCACCCTGCCCCCCACCCCAGCACTGGGCGGGTCTCTTCACCATCCCCTGTCCTTCTGGAAGATTTTCATTTCGGGAGGGAGAGAGGGTTTCTGGTAGATTTTCTGCCTTCCATTCATGGCTTTGTTTATCTTGCTTTACCAGCCAGAGCAGTTTAATGGACAAAATAACACCTTCTCTGGAAGCAGCTACAGCAACTACAGCCAAGGGAACGTCAATAGGGTATGTTTCAGTTTCCATCTTGGGAATTATAACCCACATGCACTGTGTTAGAGCGGGCCTCACTGTTTCTGCCCCAGTCTTTCTGGACGTTAGTAGGGCCATCTGCTCCAAGCCACACAGTTGCTTAGAGAATCCACAGTTCAGATGGGTAGGATGGGAATGAGTGTGGACCTGGCCAGCCCTGGAAAAAAGCAATGTGGGGACTAAGAGACCAAGGGAAGGGGCTCCTGGAGATGCTTCACGCCTGACTCCATCTGGGGACCCCAGTGTGGTGGGATGGGGATGAAGGACATGGCCTACAGTCATGCTGTGGGCAGCAGGAGACCTGGAATTGTTTCCAGCTTTCTTCTTCTCCCCAGACTATATTAGGCAAGTCCTCCATCGCCCTGAGCCTGTGTCCTCATTGGTCAAATGGGCTGGGAACCCTACAGTCTTTCGATGTCGTGACCCAAGGGAAGGGTGGTGATGTCCTTCCCAGACCCACCTGTCTTCCTATGGGGGGAGAGGCCTGAGTGTGGCCAGAGTGGAGGAAGGGGTTTCCCGGGAGGGTCTCTTCCCTTGGGGGAGCAAGGGCTACAGCCCAAGGAGGCTAGGGTGGGTGTCCAGAGCCATGGCCCCTCCTTCCTTATTACATGAACCCATAACCTATATGTGGTTTCTCTTTCCTCCCAGCCTCCCAGGCCGGTTCCTGTGGCAAACTACCCCCACTCACCTGTTCCAGGGAACCCCACGCCCCCCATGACCCCCGGAAGCAGCATCCCCCCATACCTGTCCCCAAGCCAAGACGTTAAGCCACCCTTCCCGCCTGACATCAAGCCAAATATGAGCGCTCTGCCGCCGCCCCCAGGTGAGTGCCCCGCTCTCTCCTTCAAGCCCTCCCGCCCTCTGTCCAGACACCTCCACATGCCCCCGCCTCCCCTTCCTCCAGAGTACACCAGGAGTCAGGGCACTTGGAAGTCTGACTGCTGGCCTGTGGGGTTGGGCCTCTGAAAAGAGTGGAGGGTATGAAAGCAGACCTCCTTCCCCTCTGCCTGAGCAGTGGGAGGCTGGGAGGCAAAGTGGCGCTCAGCTGTGGAAAAGGACTGGGAGAAGTCTTCAGGGCTTCCAGGACAGATGGCAAGTGGGGACAAGAATAGGATGCATGGGACGTGGAATGCAGGGATGCTCAGGATGGGGTCCAGTGGACCGGAAGATGCCAGGGGCTGTCTGATGTGCCCTTAGGCACACAGCCCAGCTGCTGTGGCCCTGTTCACACACAAGTGCAGGGCATGCAGCCAAGGGTGCGTGTCGTGTGCCATGGCTGCCAGGGCTCACCCGCTCCTCCCCTGTGCAGCCAACCACAATGACGAGCTGCGGCTCACGTTCCCCGTGCGGGACGGCGTGGTGCTGGAGCCCTTCCGCCTGGAGCACAACCTGGCCGTCAGCAACCACGTCTTTCACCTGCGGCCCACGGTCCACCAGACGCTGATGTGGAGGTGAGTATGAGGGTGCGGCACAGCCCACACCAGGTGGAGGCGGCCCTGAGGCTGACATCTGGGCCCTGGCCTTGCCTGGGAGAGATGGTAACAGCATCTGTTTGACACCGTCGCCTGTTCAGCACCACTGACTGGGTCCTGCTGTGTGCACGGCCTTGGGGATGTCATGGGAAACCTGCAGGTGCCTGGGAGACAGACAGAGCTGCCTTGGCGTAGTGGCCCGAGGGTGGGATCAGCTGTCACTCACCCCGGTCCTGAGCTAGTGCTCGAGGACGAATTCACAGTGGAAACGGTGGCTAGCTGAGACCTAAAGGCTGAGAAGGAGGATAATCCAGCGGGGCCTCTAAGCTGGCCCCTGACTGTGGCTCATGTGGCCAAAGCCAGGAATATAGAGAGGTGCAGGAGCAGGGCTGGGTCCTTCCTGAACCAAGCAAGCAGCTGGCCACTGGGTGCGGCTGCTGCTCAAACATTCAGCGCTGGAGTGTGGGGTCTAGAGGCCCCTGCTAGCCCAGGCTCTGTGTTCTAAGCCTCTTATACCTGATCTCATTTGATCTTATGAGCAGGCATTGCTTGCCCCATTGACAGTGAGGAAACTGAGGCCAGAGAAGTGGTTAGCTTGGGTGAGTCCTCACCAGTAGCAAGAAGCAGAACTGGGAGTTGGGCTCAGACCTCTTAGACGCCAGAACCCATTGGTGTCTCCACCCTCAGTCCCTTCTCGGCCAGGACTCAGCCGCCCGCTGAGCACCTTGAGGGCATGAGATGTGTCTGAGCTGAGCGCCTGCCTGCACACACACACCTGTGCACACACAGCGGGCCCATCGCCTTGATCAGGGGGGTCAGGCTTCAGAGCAGGCCTGAGACAGCCAGGGGGAGCATAAGGGCGTGGGAGCACAGACGCTCAGGCAGGAGAGATGCCCATGCAGGGGCCCTGCTCACTCACCCCTCCTTACCTGTGAGTACCCTCGCCCACGAGACCTCCTGTGCCCTGGCCACTGGCCCTGCTCACCTTTCATGCATGTGTGGTCCCTGCTGGGTTTGTGGGGATTCTTTCAGGGCCGTGTCCTTGAGGCCCACCATGGAGGGGAATGGGGGGACTGGACCAAATATGGCCCTGGCCTGGGATGCTTCTTCCACATGAGCCTAGGACATAATCAGTCTTCCAGCTGGTCTCGTTGAGTTAGTGACTGTCCTTTCTGTCCATCTGTCTCTGTCCTTACATGCAGGGGGCTGGGAGATAATAGTCAGAGTTGTGGGAGTCCTGGGGGAACTGGGGTTTTGGGGATGGGTTTTGATAGGTGGGGCCTGAGCAGTGGGAATGTCCAGGGAGAGAGAGGAGGTGGTCGGGGGAGACTTTATGGCTGAGGACAGAGTCCTGGGCCACTTGATGGGGACTGTGATGAGGTTGAGGTGTGTGGCCCTGCCAGGCATCCTGGAGCCTCCAGGCAGCCCCCTGGCAGTGCCGCCCTGAGCCTCAGCTGCACCCCCAGGTCGGACCTGGAGCTGCAGTTCAAGTGCTACCACCACGAGGACCGGCAGATGAACACCAACTGGCCGGCCTCGGTGCAGGTCAGCGTGAACGCCACGCCCCTCACCATCGAGCGCGGGGACAACAAGACTTCCCACAAGCCGTTGCACCTCAAGCACGTGTGCCAGCCGGGTCGCAACACCATCCAGATCACTGTCACCGCCTGCTGCTGCGTGAGTGTGTGGGAGGTGGGGGAGCCTCAGCGCCCCGTGGGGTCAGCCGTGGCCTGGGGTCTCCCTCCCAACAGCTCCTGGAGTGATCTTTTAGAAGTACCCCAGAAATGTGCCACTGTCCTCACCCCACCCCCACCCGCCCTGGGACAAAATTCAGGCCACTGTGCTCTGGCCCAAGACCTGGCCTTCTCCCCTCTTGCACTACAGCCTCCCCTCCACTTCCTCTTGGAGCTCTTAGACACCACCTGCCCCCATGCCCACCACCTTCTTCCACTGGGGAAGTCCTGTGTCTCCCTCAACGCTAGGCTCCATTCATGCCTCATTTGCAAGAAATGTTTATATTCTAATCATCTTTTCCCCCTAGACCCAACTCCACCAAGTCTGGAGTTAACTCCCTCCCTTGATCATCCAGCAATGCTAGCTTAGAGCTCTGTATGTGTGCGTGTGTATGTGTGTGTGTCCCCTGACCTGTGACTCACTGCTCTGGGACCACATCTAAGCCATGCTTCTATCCCCCAGGATCAGGGCCTGGCACTTGGGTCTTGCTTGGGAATTTGCAGTTTACCTCCCCCTCACCACCACCTGCTGGTCTCCCTGGAGGAGAAAAAAGAGCTCTGATCTGGCCCTCATGAGAGTTGGTACTTTAAGACCACCCAGAGATAGGAGTCACAGGACTAGGGATGCTGTCAGAGTGAGGAGCTTATGGGGGCTTGTTGGGGTGGGCAGTCCTGGAAGGCTTCCTGGAGGAGTGAAGACAAGACAACATCCTGTGGCAGGAAGGATGGAGTAGGCATGATGGGGAACAGCAGGGTGCAAGGGTAGGAAGTGTTTGGCTCCAATCCTGATGCCTTGTGCCTGTGACCACCTTCGGGGGAGGGAGGTGCTATTTGAGCATCAGAGTCAGCTTTGGTGGAGACCCACTGTCCCTGGGGAGTGACCCCTGTCTGGGTCCCCAGCTCACAGGTCCCAAGACACATCCTGGTCCTTCAGGGCTCTCCCAGGTCCCAGGGACCCTCTCCTAGCAGGGCATCACTGTGGACTTGGGGCCCTTTCCTGTGTTTAGCCGCTGGGGCACGGTGATGGGCATGGGGGCCACATGGCAGGGACTGAGTCTCCGCTTTTTCTTGGCAGTCCCACCTCTTTGTGCTGCAGCTGGTCCACCGGCCCTCTGTGCGCTCCGTGCTGCAAGGCCTCCTCAAGAAGCGGCTCCTGCCTGCGGAGCACTGTATCACGAAAAGTGAGTGGGGGCCCAGGGCTGGAACCAGACCCCAGTCTCTCTGCATGCACTGTCCTTCGAGCCTGACACCACTGGGCCCTGAGGGTGCCCTGGCGCCAGGCCCTCCCCCTTCCCTTCCAGTGCCCCTCCTCTGGGGTTGTGGGGACAGTCCGATGAGTACACAGTACTGTTATCACAGGATATGAGGCAGATTAAACCAAGATGCCATGGTGTAGGTAGTCTGGGCAAGCTCCCTGGAGGTGATCACCTGGAAGGATGGGAGGAACTGGAGAAGAGGGTTCTTCATTGTGGGATAAGCACAGAGGTCAGTTGCAGTGGGCTCCTCACCTCAACAGCCCAAGCCCAACTTGAGAGGGAAGGACTTGGCTCAGAGTCCCAGGAGCAGACACCTGGGGTAGGGGGCACCATGCATGAAGTGGGAAGTATGCTACTACACCCCCTTCAAATGTGCTTCTTTGTACGCTGAGCCCTAGAATCCTGCCAGGCCATTTCCACACTTGGAGAACTAAGCACAAAAGCGTCTGTGGGGCTCTCCCACTGACCCAGAAAATCAGTGAAGTGCCAGACTGTTTCTGCAGGTTTTGTAGAAAGTCCTGCCTTCCTATTGAAGGCAGGGCGTGAACTGCAGAGACTGGGGGGCTGACGGCATGGCCACCTCCAGGGACACTTCACACTTGTCACCTGAAGAGTGTCATTCCAGAGTACTGGGCATCCCAGGGCCCCCAACATGCCGATCTTGCTTTCGCCCAGGCCAAGGTGCCCTGCACCTATTTATGAGACCTCCCAGTGTTAGGGGTCATGGAGAACCAGGGTGTGCATCAGTCACTTGAGGGAGTGGGGGAAGTACAGGACACTCTTGTCCTGCTTATCCACTTCTGCCTCCCTCCTACAGTCAAGCGGAATTTCAGCAGTGTGGCGGCCTCATCAGGCAACACAACCCTCAATGGGGAGGATGGCGTGGAGCAGACAGCCATCAAGGTATCTCTGAAGTGCCCCATCACATTCCGGCGCATCCAACTGCCTGCTCGAGGCCATGATTGCAAGCATGTCCAGGTGAGCAGTCCTGGGAGAAGCCTCCTGGAGTCTGGCTGGGATGGCGATGGGGTAGGCTCAGGGCAGCAGGTCTGTCTCCAACCCTGAAAGGATGCCCTGGCCATCAGCAGCTTATTTCACTCACTCATTCCTGCCATCATGTATCTGTCAAGCAACTTCTCTGTGTACTCAGAGCTGGGTCCATCTGGTTTGTGTATCGCCAACGAGCTGTTGAAGTGTCAGGACTTAACTTCTCTGGATTTGAGGAAGTCTCATGAGGTTTTATTGAGCAGTTAGGATGGATGTAAACCTCACTGGTGGGACCTGCTTCTTCCCTATGAACTAAGAGACATGAACAATTCAGAGGATGGACTAGTAACAAAGTTAGAAATAAGAGGATGGAGCCCCCACCCCCAAAATGAAAGTGCTGGGGATTTGGAATTCAGGCTTCATTGGTTATGCACCATCATAGCAATTCATTCTTCCCCTCTAAGCCTCAGTACCTCCTCTGGGCCGTGGGGACAGTTTCCTTGCCCAACTCACAGAACTGTTTGGATATGACAGATAATGACAATTGTCATGATGTCTACAGATGGGAGAGGTATCCACTCACTTCTTTTTGTTTCCTCTCTCAGAAGGAGCCAGAAAGAATTATAGAGACCTCTTCTGGAGCCCCAGAGGGCTCCAGAACTGGATTTAGACAGTCCCAGCCCTGGCAGATGTCACAAGCCAGCTGGAAATACTGCCTTTTCGGCCACCATGGCTGGTGTAAACCAGAGAGCAGGGGCACCTCTGCCCGGCTCATCTTGAGGCCTTGCCCTGAGCACACGCTCGGGAAGTGGCGGCGGGTTGAGTGCCTGGTCACAGTTTGGGTGGCTAAACACAGGCAGCCCTAGTGGGTGAGATGCATTGGGTGGGGGCTACCCTGGGGCCAGGCCAGCCACACCCTCAGCCCCCACCCTCTCACAACAGTCCCCAAGGGCTTCATAGTGGGTCCCCCTCCATCAAAAGCTCCTTCCCTGGGAAAACGGGGGCAGGGGACGTCTGGTTCCTTTATTTGTCTCATACATGCTGATGAACCAGATGGAGCGTGTCCTCCACGCGTGGGCTCGGCCAGCGAGAGGGGCAGGATTGGTGAGGGGCGGCTGCAGGGGAACTGGAAGGCTGCTCGGAGGCCGTGGGTAATCTGGTGCACGGGGCTGGTATGAGGAGGGCTGGGCATAGGGCTGCAGGGACTCAGCGTGGCCCATAGGCTGTATGCACAGCAGGAAATAGGCAAGATTATTGCCCCACCTAGCCCGCCAGCCCCGGGTCTCTCCATCACCTGTTTCCCTCCCTGGTGGGACATCTTCATGAGGGTCCCAGAGGCAGTTCCGGTTGCATATAAGTGATTTCTGAGGGCCCTGGGCTCATCTGTCTTTGTCTCCCGGCTTTTGCAGTGCTTTGACTTGGAGTCATACCTGCAGCTGAACTGCGAGAGAGGGACCTGGAGGTGTCCTGTGTGCAAGTAAGTGACACCTGCTCAGCATAAGCACAGTTGCCTGGCTGTGGGAGGAGCGCGGGGCCTGTTCTATGGGGTCCAGCCGCCTCCCACCTGCCCTAAATGCATAGCAGAGGGGCTCAGATTACAGGGGCAGTGCATAGTCGCCTTGTACCAAGCTGTCGCAAGGCTGCCCTCTCCTGTTGGTGCCCCAGTAGTAACCAGCGGCAGGGGCCAAGTCTCTTGGGCACAATGGGGAGGAGTGGGCTGTGTCTCTACCCCTTTGGGTCCAGCAGCCAAAGCCAAGCCCCACCTCTCTCCTTTTCCAGTAAAACCGCTCTGCTGGAGGGCCTGGAGGTGGATCAGTACATGTGGGGCATCCTGAATGCCATCCAACAGTAAGTAGGCCTCTCCACGCGGGGGAAGGGGGTTGGGGGGGGCAACAGGAATGCGGTCCCTGATGGTATGAGATGAGTATACATGGTTGCCCCTGATAATTTTTCCTGCTCTGGGCCAGCAGACCATTTTCCCACATCCCTCACCTCTCTGCAAATTTAAGGGCTTCTCTACCTGGGGGCAAATGAACTTTCCAGAAAGGACCACGCTCAGTCAGAGCAGGAAGCTGACGGTGCCTACAGCAGTGACCATGCCATGAGTGCAGGCTTTGGGGCCAGCTGCACAGCCACTTGATTTTCCTAGCCTCAATCTCCCCTTCTCTCCAAAGAAGTAAAAGTCCCTGATACCTCTGTTGTAGGCAGAGTGTGATGGGAATGGGGGCAGAGGGAGCCTGGATGAGAGCGTCACAGTGTCTATTCAAGCTGGAGGCTCTTGCGTCTACAAGCTGGTACCCAGGACCCCAGCTCTGCCCCTTTGTTCCCCCAGCTCCGAGTTTGAAGAGGTCACCATCGACCCCACATGCAGCTGGCGGCCAGTGCCCATCAAATCGGACCTTCACATTAAAGATGACCCTGATGGCATCCCCTCCAAGAGGTTCAAGACCATGAGTCCCAGCCAGATGATCATGCCCAATGTCATGGAGATGATCGCTGCCCTGGGCCCTGGCCCGTCCCCCTATCCACTCCCGCCTCCACCTGGGAGCACCAACTCCAATGACTACAGCAGCCAAGGTGGGTGACGGCCGATGAGGAGGGAGGGAGGAGCCACGGCGGGGGCGCAGGATTTCTGGGGTGGTGGTGGCAGGTGCAGGGAAGGTGTGGTATGAAGAGGCAGAGGTAACTTGTTTAGGGTTTAGGTAACCCCTAAAAACAACACCCCACCGTTGGCCTTGGGGTGCAGTGCCATCCTTCCTTCTCCATCCTACTGCTTGGTTCCATCCAGCCCTGTGGGTTGGTACCCAGTTGGGAAGGCACGCGTGAGACGCTGCTCCGTGAGCCAGCCTCCTGCCCCTCGTACCCCACCCTGCTCAGCCTCCTCTCCTGACTCCTGGAGCTCCCAGGCCAGCAGCTGCTGATCTAAGGGGCTTCTGAGCCCACTTTGCTTGAGACACTACCACCACCCTGCCCCTGGAGTTCTGGCCTTTCCCCAGGCCCCATGTTTCCTTTTGATGTTCTATGTATTGTGCCTGTCCCTGCAACTCTCCCACCCTCTGAGAGATAGAGTCTAGGGGCCTGGAGCACCAGCCTTCAGCCACCAAGGTCACCGTCACTCCATCACTCTCTCTGCCGCCCAGACCCAGCTGCACTGCACTGCCCTCGGTTCCCAGAGAGTACCCTCCCTGCTCCCCAGAAGTCTGGGGATGTCAGTGCCCCACGGAATCCCTGCTCTTAGGTCCCGGGGCTCCAGATGATCAGATTCCCAGAGAGGTTAGCCTACCTAGCCAGAGTCCCACAGCATACTGAGGGGCCCAGCTTTCCAGCGTGCTGATCCTCTGAGCTCTCACCACCACCACACGGCGGAGGGAGCAGTGGCTTGGGGGCCAAATGGTTGGCTTTTCAGGGTGGACTCTCGAATCTAACATGGCTTCTTTGTTTACTGGGCAGATTCTGGCCACCTGCTCTGGGCCTGGTTCATCCCAGTGTTGAAGGGCAGGCATGTGGTGGCTGTAGGGGAACAGGTCTGGAGGCTAGCTCTGCAGATCCTGCAGAGAGTTCTGACTTGGGCCTCATTCTAGGACCCTCTGCCAACAGGAGTCCCGCCCACTCTGTCCACCTATGCTGGCCCTGCTTGTAGCTGTAGACCAACAGACACCTGGGGGTGCAAAGGCCCGCAGGAAAAGGCCACGCTGGGCCCCACCATACAGCCTGGAGGTCTGAGCTGCCAGAGCCGACCCTAGCCTTGCAGGGGTTTGGGCCTGGGTTCTTCGTTTCCACACTCTGATTCCCTGGGCAGGGAATTTTCCCTATGGATAACACCCCTCCCCATCTGGTTTTATCCCCAGGAAACAACTACCAAGGCCATGGCAACTTTGACTTCCCCCACGGGAACCCCGGCGGGACGTCCATGAACGACTTCATGCACGGGCCCCCCCAGCTCTCCCACCCCCCGGACATGCCCAACAACATGGCCACCCTCGAGAAGCCCCTCAGTCACCCCATGCAGGAGACTGTGAGTACCTTTTCCTCGCCCATGACCCTCCACCTCCCCGGTGCCCCCAGCCCTATTTGGGACAGAGGGCTCCCCTGGACCTTTCTGATGTTTGCCTGGTTCCCTCCCAGGCAAAGGGGAGGGCAGAGAGTTGAGTCTGGGGGCTCAGGAGGGAGTGGGGGGCCTAACCGAAGCTGGGTCATGGCCCAACAGCATCCCTGGACTTGGCTGTTTGACCCAGGACACCAGGTTCTCAGATGGGGGAAACTTCAGGCTCTTACCTACACATACATACTGCGTACCATATGTACACGTGCAGATGCCTGCACACACCCCGCACGCAGGCCCACACACTACCATACACATGGCACACATCCTACACACGTGCACACACACACATACACGCCGTCCCCCCTTACACACACTCTTACACTGACTTATAGCTCCATCTAGCCATCTAGAATTTTGTCCCAAACCCAGGCACTTTACTCTCTGAGAGTCTGATCACCTCATTCTGCAAAAAGAAACGTGAGGACATCTACTTATCCCAAGAGGATTCACTTCTCATCCTATTTCACATATTAACACACACTCTATCACTGAGAAAGCCCCTTTGGGTGAGGTGCCCCATGCCATCCAGTGCCTTCTCTTCTTGTGGCCCCGACAGCAGTGGTGGAGGTCTGCCCACCTCCCAGGTTCTCATCTAGGCAGTGCTGGGTGATTCCACTTGATCTAGCGGACATTTTCTGAGCCTGACCTCCCGGCTGTGCCTTGTGTCAGTCGCAAGCAAGACAGACACAGGCCTCGTGCTCATGGAGCAGAAGTTCTGGTGGTGCCTTGATGGCGGAAACACAGTTGGTGTTTTGGGAAAGCCAAGGCCCAGGAGCTGAAGACTGAGGCCTCGATTATTCTTTGCGTCTCTCATCTTAGCCAAGGGGCATTCACAGAGGGCCTGGCAGTAGGTCCTGGGTCACAGCTGCCAGAGGGAAGGGGCCAGGGAGTCAACACCCAGTGGTGGGGTTGGGCCTGCACCCAAAGGCGTCTCTCCAAGCTCTCCTTTCTCCACGGCATAGCCTCGAAGGAAGGAGCCTCTGGATTGTACTGTGTTCCCCACACTTGACGTGGAATTGGTTCTGCCACTGGGCCAGGGGATTGTCCTATACACCAGAGCCACTAATCTCAGCAGGACTGACTCTTAACCAGAAGGACTCTGAGTAAGGGGCACTGTAGCAACTTGCCCGCAGGAACCCAGAATGCCATATCAGAAATAGCTGCTTTCACAGGCCTTCGGCCATGTTTTTGTAAGTTGCTTTTTGCCCTGTGGGGCTTCTGATTTCTGGGAGCCTTTCTCCTGGCCCCCTTCCCTGGCCCTGCTCCCCAGGATCTCAGCATTGAATGCCCAGGAGTCACCCAGATCTCCCCCTGACCCCATATTCACATGGCACCTTCTGAGTCCTCACAATTCCCAACACTCGGACATGACAGTGGGGGCAGTATTTCCTTCCCCTATCCAAGACGACTCTCTCCTGCCTTGTCAGCTCTGCTGCCTGGGGTCTTTGCAGAGGCACCTAAGCCTGTGAGTTGACTTCACAGCCCCCCAGGATGCTTCTCAAATATGCACCATCCTCACCCGTTTCTGGGCTTAGGTTAGATGGTGACTAGACCCAGAAGTACAGATGCACAAGACGGTGGGGTGCAATCACAGGTCGACCAACCCCCCACACCTGCCCAACCAGAGCAGCCTCACCCGGCTGAGCACAAGGCCAGGAAGGATTCCCAGTGCACAGTGGGAGGGCCCCAAGCAGGCACTCATTCACCCAAGGGTTCTCCTGCGCCAAGTGGGAGGTTGACGGGTGTGTCAGCAGCCCCAGAGAGCACCCACCCCTCCAGGCCCTGCGATAATTCCAGCAAGATGTCAGGGCCAAGGAGGGCAGCTGTATCAGCAGATCCAGGGGACTGTCTGTCTGGGGCTGGGCTGCTTCAGGTGTGTGGAGCACCCTCTGGCCCCCCACTTCCCGGAGTGGTCACCGTGGAGCACCGCAGGCGTGGGGAGGAGACACAGGCTGGCCTCACACTGACAGCCGTGGTGGCCATCCCTCCAGCCCCTCCTGGGCCTTCTTACTTCATTTGCATCCCACACATGTTCCCCCAGAGTCACCAACCTTAAGGTCATATGGACATCGCCTGTTCTCAGCGCTCCAGGCTGTAGGGGCAGTGCTGGGAGGGGGCCACCTGAACTGTGGGCAGAGGCTGGCCCACAGCAACTTTTAGGAGAAACAGGAAGAGGAACTGGGTTCTCTGGAGATCAGGATGGTGTGGCTGCTGTTTGCAAACCCACGAAGGAAGTGTCAATGTTTCTGTGTGGCCCAGAAGACGGGGCGGGGAGGAGGGTACCGAAAGACCACAGAGACGTGTGGCCGCCTGGCTGCCCATTCCAAGTGAGCAGCCTGGCCAGTCAGAGAGCTCCCTGTGCTAGCAGAGTGTGAGGGGCGTTGGGGCTGGGGCTGGGGTGGGGGTCGCTTGGGGAATGCCAGAAATGGGGCCAGGAACTGGACTCAGCCTTTCACTCTGAGATCTGAGCTCTGAAGGCAGGACTGCTTGAGGCAGCAAACAGACCAACAGGGGAAGTAAAACTCTCACTCACTCACTCACGTGTCCCCTGCCCACCCACAGCCCCGGTGCACATGGGGTGGGGCGTGGGCCCTTAGGCTGTCTATGAGAGAAGCATGCCCATGGATGCCCAGTGGGTGGCCAGCAGGCAGGGTTAGGAAGCCCCAGGTTTGCTCCTTTTCCATGGGCTCAATTACATCCTACCTGGGGCAGCAGGCAGAGCTCGCACTGAAGCCCTGGCTGCCACCGGAGTCTGTGTGCCCAGCGCCACCCCCAGCCCAGGGCCCACGTGGGGGCGCAGACCCCCGCCCCGAGCTGCACGCCTGCCCCATGCTGTCGTCCGTGTCTGCTCTCCGCCAGCCCAGCTCGGCCTGCACCACGCCGCCAGCAGCGCTCCCGCCCACCTCCCTGCCCCCTGGAAACATGCCCATTTCGCTTCTCCATCCTGCCCTTGCTGTTGTTCATTGTGCTGGTGTCCGGGCCAGGGAGGCAGAGAGGCTCCCAGGGGCCTGCCTGGACCCGGAGATCTCAGTGTCTCCGCTCATCTCAGAGCCCTTGGCCGCCTCCCTCCCGGCCCCACGTGGCCTCAGCCTCCCTGATGGGCGGTTTCGGGGGAGGATTTTTGTTTGTTTGTTTCTCTGCAGAGAGAGGGAAAAAAAAAGCATTCAGCTTTGTAGAAGGGTGGCTTTGTTTTGGGGGTTTGTTATTTTCCTGGTTTGGTTTGGTTTTCATTTCTCCAGGCGTCTCGTCGCTGTACCTCGTCACCTCACCTCTCTTTTTCCTGCTCTCTCCTCCTCCACAGATGCCACACGCTGGCAGTTCTGACCAGCCCCATCCCTCCATACAACAAGGTTTGCACGTCCCACACCCCAGCAGCCAGTCAGGGCCTCCATTACATCACAGTGGGGCTCCTCCTCCTCCTTCCCAGCCTCCCCGGCAACCGCCACAGGCCGCTCCCGGCAACCATCCACACAGCGACCTGACCTTTAACCCCTCCTCAGCCTTAGAGGGTCAGGCCGGAGCGCAGGGAGCATCTGACATGCCGGAGCCTTCGCTGGATGTAAGTTGGGGTCACCACGTGCCTTGGCCTGGGGCTAGGCCTGGCGCCGGGACCTGTCCGAGAGCAGGGGCGGGTGTTGAGGGCCTGAGGCCCGGGGTGGAGGAGGTGTAGCTCTGAGGAGGGGTGGGCGGCCGGAGGGTGGGCCCCGCCAACCTGCCTCCCCTGGCTGCAGGACCAGGGAGCCCCACAGCGGGCCAGCCCCCTCTGAGGGTCCCGCGTCCCCTCCCCCCCTCTGTTGGCCCTGCCCCCGCCCCTCCACAGTCCTACAGGCTGGCCCTGCCCCACCTCACCCAGGCCCCCACAGAGTCTTCTGGGCTGGTCCTGGAGGCAGCCCGAGAGGGTCCCCACCCGTCCCCACCTTCCCCTTCCCCCACATCGGCTTGCCATCTCTGCGTCTGCCACACTTTCTGGCCCCGAGGCCGGGGAGGGGCTGGAGGGACAGGGTCCGTCTGTCTGTGTCACTGGTGTCTGTCTGTCTGTCTGCAGTTTCTAGTCTGTGTGTGGTCCATGCCCTGTGCTTCTGCTCACTCCATTGCTCACCGTGAGAGGCCCCTGTGTGGGGTGCCAGAGAGTTGGCCTCGGGTCACACTGGGGGTGGTGGTGAATGAGGTGGAAGTGGGAAGCTGAGACTTAGGGATCACCGCCCCCCGCCCCCGACGTTGAGAACTGAATGGTCTGGAAGGTGGGGCAGGGGGACACTGGGTGATGGGTGCTAGATAGCTGGGCAGGGACACCAAGGAAAGGGACACAGCACTTGCCCCTCCCACCCCTCATCCCTAGACTCTAGATTCCCAGACAGGAGGCCCGCCCTCTCCTCCATCACTCCTTTCCCTCCCGCCTCAGCACCAGCAGGAGTCACCCTTGGTCTCTGTAGTGAATGGGGCTCACTCGGCTTTTTGGCCATCTTGAGTTCTTATCTGACTCTCCTCCCCAGACCAGGCCAGGGCAGGTGCTTTTAGATCGATGAGGGTCCCCCGTGAGATCAGAAGATTCCAAAGACCTCACAGGAGAGGATAGGGTTGGTCTGCCAGCCAGCCACGGGCTCAGCAAGGAGCCAGGAGTTCTTGGGTGAGGTGTGGGGCGGTGGGATCCAAACAGACCACCCAGCCTTACATACAAAGCCACTTGGTTTTTGCTGAGAGGCCCAAGTGTCGCCCAGTTGCTTGTGGCAAGTCTAAGGAATACTCTTCATTGAGGAGCCTTCCCAGCTGGTAGACTGCGGGCCCCACTGTCCAGACGGTGTGCCCCGGACCAGCATGGTGGCCTGGGTGTATCTGGGGACCACCAGCACTTAGTTTCCCCTGTTTGGGCCAGGACCCCAGGAGGCAAGTCGAGGGCAAGCAAACAGGCCTGGGGATGCCCTGCCTTCCTCGCCCTGGGCTGGCCCAGCCCTCGGCCGACACCTCAACTGGACTTCTGTACTTCTCTTCCAGCTCCTTCCAGAACTCACAAACCCTGACGAGCTCCTCTCGTACCTGGATCCCCCCGACCTGCCGAGCAATAGTAACGATGACCTCCTGTCTCTCTTTGAGAACAACTGAAGCCCAGCCCTGCATCGGGGCCACCCCTCCCAACTCGGCCTCCTTCCCCATCTGCCCCCCACACTTCCCCGCTGGGAGCCCGAGCCCTCGAACCCGCCCCTGCTGCGGCCTTCAGAGCCGAGGGGCAGGAGGGTGCGCTGTGAAGGTGGTGCGGGTCTGGAGCCCACGCCCAGAGCAGGCCCTGAGGATGACCCTCGAGACGGGGCAACAGCCCAGGGAGGGGGCACACGCTGATGGCGGCTTCCAGACAACCCTCCAGTGCCCCCCAGATTCTTCCAGTTTCTAAACTGTAACCCAGCTTCCCTGCTTCCTGGCCCAGAGCCACCTCCAAGTGACTGTGAACCTGAAAGAGAGCCCCCCCAGACCCCGGCGGCCCCGAGCCTTGGAGGAGCCGCGGCAGCTGGCGGCAGTGAGAACGGCCTGCCCACCACCACCACCACCGCCCCCCACAGAAAAGCACAAACCTCTGGGCAAGAGAACTCTCAGGGGCCAAGGTTATCGCTTTGACCCCAGACCTCTAAGCCAGGATACCCTATGAACAGTCTCAGAAAGCAGAGAAAAAAGACAAGATTCTGTGTTGGGAGAGGGTGAGCCATTCACCCTCTTGCTCGGGGATGGGTGGAAAAGCGAGTCAGGGCCTCTCAAAGCCAGGATGGCCCTGGAACCACTGACTCAGGCCAGGGCCCCCCCCTTGGGGGGATGGGGGTGCAGAGAAAGAACCCAGCTGAAATTATTGTGCCCTTAGTTGGAGGGAGGGGGAGCTATCAGTCAAAGTTGGAGTCCAGTAGAATCAGCAACTTACAGTTTTGCTCCAAGCCTCTCCTTGTTTTTAAACGACCGCAACAAAGCTACGAAGTCACTTGGAAAAGAGGAACGTTGGACTTGGACAGCAAGCGAACCATTTCTCCCCATGTGTTCTGTTTCCTTCCTCTGCTCCCCCTCCCCCACCTCTCTGAGACTACTACGTGGGACGCCCACGTCCCTGTGTCCCAGGGCCCCTGTGTCCGCCCGGACGGCAAGGCAGGTGGTGGAAAGGCAGGGGATGCAAGGGCTCAGCAGCAGGACCTCCGGGCATCGCTCGCTGTCCGGCTCCTCTGTCTGTCTGGTCTGTGCTCCAGGCTGCCCCGGGCTCCAGCCCAGTCCAGCGCCACGTGTGCCAGGATCAAGCATCGCATGGTGTTTCTGTGGCTGTCTCAGCCCCAGCTCTTGGCCGCCAGCCTCTCCCTCACTTCGTGTCCTCCTGCTCTTGCAAGCTCACCCCACACTCCTGCCCCAGCAGAAGCAGCCTCTGGTTTTCCCTCTGTGCTTTGCTCCATCCAGCCAACCGCTTGCTCAGAGTGCCCCGGGTAGTTACTGTGCGTCCGTTTTGTTCCAGGCTCCCCTGTGCTCCCCGAGCCACGTGGCCTGTGATGCTGGGCGGTTGGGCCTCTTGGATCTCCTCTGTAAATTTGTTGTGCCCCTCCCCTGCTGCTGCCTGGGGCCTTCACTTGCTCCCCCGTCCACTGTCTATGTTCTCAGCCTCTGTCTCCCTCTCTGTTGGCGGGGGGACACCCAGCACTCCTCTGGATTTGACCGGAATGTTGGCCACAGCTGTTAACTTCCGGTCACCGAACCAGACGGCCCGGCACAAAGTTTTCTGTAGGAAAGCTGCCATCGTCCCTCCCCCACCCCTTTTCCTTTGTCCCGTTGTTGAGGTTTTTTCAAACAGCGTGGTGTTCCGTATGCAAATCAATTATTTTAAGAATTGCTTTTGTAAATATCTTTGTGAATATTTTAGTATTGTCTTTGATAATATTCAACATTTTCATGACCTGGTTATAGCCTTTGCTGGTGTTTTTAAAATACCTTGACTCAATGACAAAGACCGAGTCCCTTTTTTTAAAAAAAAAACAACAAACAAAAACAAAAAAGCAACCAGGGCCATTTGTACAGATGAAGGGACGAAAAGCATGGGTGGCTGTACCGTGAGTTAGACGAAGACCAGGCTACCCGCTGTTGGGAGCCATCCCCAGTTGGCTGGTGGGGACACATGACACCAGGTGGCATGTGGCCATCTCCGACCAGTGACCCTTAGCCCCAGCTGTGTCAGGCCATCTGGGGATGCCCCACCCCAGACAGACCTATAGATGCCTGCCTTAGAATTTCCCGCTTCCTGCCTTGCAAGACTGTCTCAAAAAGGCCTGGGTGTGTTCTGGTTGTTATCAGGGTGTCCCCACTCTGCTCACCAACCTACCCACAGCTTTCTAGCACAGAGGGTCAATCTACTGCCCACAACCCAGGCTCCGGGCACCTCCCTCATCCGTCTCTGAGTAAGCCGTGGGCTCAGCACCCTGAGGTGGATTTCCTGGGTCCCCTCTCAAGCAAGCCTCCACCAGCAAGTTCAGCAAAGAGCTTTCCAGACCTGCGGTACCTGCAGCCTGCACTCTGGGCACATACTCTTCCAGAGCGATTTTGGAGGCGGGTTAGGGGGGTGGGCATCAAGATGTCTGGGGCTGAAACGAGCCCTAGTTGGTGACACATTCAGGTGACGACGGCTTCCCCAAGCAAGGGCGGTTCTGAACTCTGGGGAGATGCTTCCCTGACCCTTTCAGATGACTACTTGGAGCCATACATAACCTCAGCGAAAACGATGCCTCAGCAAGCCACTTCTCCACGACAAGCATCCACCCAGGCCACAGGCACGTTGCTGCCTCCACTCCATGGGATGGACGGCGCCAGCAGGCAGGCGGGAAGGCCCAAGTACAAGCAATCACCCCATCTTCTTGGTTTGAAGCTTTACCCATGGATCATGTTCCTGTAGCCATTTTTATTTTTTAAGGAACTAATACTTTCTCCCTAATGGAAGCCCTGAACCCCCAGAGAGCTCCACGTCTGCCTCACCCAGCCAGACAGGGCGACGTGGGCAGCAGCCACTCAAGGGACATGTGTACATATGTAAATGAGAAATAGAGACATGTTAACAGACGCATTCATTTCCCTTGGAATGTGTATTGTTTTTATTTTACGGAACAAAACAACACAAAAAGGCTTGGAACTCCATCTTAATGTGGAAAAAAAACTAGATCCTGTCTGTTAGCGTCTGTGAGGTCTCTCTCCGCATCCGTCTCATCATGTAATATACTCTGACTCTGTGTGGAAAGGAATTTTTTGTTCCGTTTTTGTTTTTATTTTACCTACATGTACTATTTAGCTTCAGTGTACTAGTCCTGCCACCTGTGTATTTTTAGGGTGCTATGGAAATAATGAAAAGAAACGGGGATTTCAGAAGAAAATTGTAACCAAATTCATACTTTGTATAATTTTTGATATCATGATCGCAGGTGATTGACACACACACATGAACACACACCCACCGTGCAGCCTGAAGTAACCCCACAGCGACCGTCATCGTCTTTGTACATCTCTGTACAATGCAATCATTTCATACTTTAAACTGGTCAGAAAACTAATTGTGATTTCTAGTCTTGCAAAACTGTATGTAGTTAGATGATGTGACAGCCTCTAATATTTATCTAATAAATATGTATTCAGATGAAACCTGTATATTAGGTGTTCATGTGGTTATTTTGTATTTAAAGATCAAATTATTTGACTATTGCTAGACATTTCTATACTCTGTTGTAACACTGAGGTATCTCATTTGCCCATGTTAATTTTTTTTTTCTAAATAAATGGACAAAAACGAAGGTTTGGCGAACTAGCGATTTTGTGAATGTTAAGGAGTGATTTGGGTGTTTGCTGGTTTTGCTTTATCAACCGCCACCCCTGCCCGATCACCCTGCAAAACAAACAAAAACTATGCAGTCAGGTGTTAAGTCAGAGGAGCCCCTGACACAGGGGTCCCTGCAGAGAACCTGGAACCTCGCCCAGATAAATGTGCATAGCCCAGTGGTCTCACCTCCAGGTCTCCAGCAGCCCCTGGTCCTGGTGGAGGGATGGCCTGGCCGGCAGGAAGGGGACCCTGAGTGGCGCCAGGCCCTGTACGGGTTGCTGGGATGCAGACCCAGGGTGACTCAAAGGCTGTGCAGTGCTGTCTGGGCTCTGGCAGCAAGCCCCTGGTGGATTCTCTGGGCTTCGGAACAGGAGTCTCATCATGTTACAGCTGCTGTCCCACTGACCACCTCTCTCTGGCCACCCCACTTCTCAGCACCCTCACCCCTGTCATCTTTAAGGGGGACCTTGAGTCTTCTCTTGCCCATGATTGAAACTTACATAGGCTTCTTTGCTATAGCCGCTGCCCAGGTCCTGTTTCTATTAAACTATCCTTACAGCTTCAGACACACAACTGACTTCCCTTCCTGTGTCTCCTGAACTTCGGGAAGTGAACCTGATTCTCAGAGCCCAGCATCAGAGGAGCTCCCCTCTTCTCTCAGCTCTGGCCTCAGAAAATAGGACAGACTAGAATTTGGCTGTTGTGGCTTTTCCTCCGCAGAGACGGTGTGAGGGCGAGTCCGAAGAAGGAAGTGGGGTCTGGTAGGCACCCCAAAGTATATCCCCTGGAGTGTGTGTGTGGGGGGACGGGGATGTGTGTCAGGAGAGAGCACAAGTCTGCACGTGAGCAGGTGTGTGTGTGCCAGAGTGAGCCAGGAGGATGTGTGCAGGGTTATCATCAGCCATAGAACTGCCCGTGGAAAACTGGGGGCCAGGAAGTCCCCTGTCTCCAGGCCTTCTCCAGGGTGGCCAGCTTCTCTTCCTGGAGGGAGATGGAAGGGGAGGGGAGGAGGAGAATTTACATTAAACCTGGAATCCTGTGGCCACTGCCTGCTGCTGTCAAGAGGCGTTTTCTCTGAGAACCGACACTCCTGGAAGAGGGCTGAGTAGCATCAACGACAGCTTCCCAAAGGGGCCCCCAGTTCCCCACTGCCCTGGGGCAGAGGTTTCCCATGGCCCTGTCAGTGGCTCATGAAATCATTTTGGTGGGTTGTGACAAGCACTCTTTAAAGAAATAGATGAGAATGAAATAGAAAACAAAGAGCACCCTTACATAGTGAGGGTGCTGATTGTATCATGAAACTTCTGTTGCAATTGTGTGTCTGTGACTGCTGAATCATGTTGTAAAATTAATTCTTACTTGTGGGTTGTGGTTAAAAACAAAAAGTTTAAATGCCATTGCCTTAAAGGCAGGAAGTGGGCGGGGGCGGGGGGGGGAGGGAGAGGCAGGGCGGTATGCTCCCCTAACTTTAAGATAAAAAGCAAACCTTCCTGCAGTTCTAGCTTCAGAGCCTGAAGCCAGGGATACAGCTTAATATAGTCAGGTGACCGCCTAGCAAGGCTGCATGGAGACCCGCCCACCCCACCCCTCTAGCTCCTCCAGAGACCGCCTACTTCCTTCTGTGGGTCTAGAGTGAGAGAAGCCCATGGGAAAATCCCAGGAAGGGCCTCGCTCAGAGCAGCTTGGAACTCAGCCTCCTGCTCTACCGCTCTCTACCCTCTGCTTCCTCTCCCCTCACACATCTTCAGCATGTCCTTCAGCCCATGGGTCATCTTGGGTTTCCATTCGTCCCAACCCACCCTGCAGAGCCCCCGCCCTCTACTCAATGACTGTCCCTCCACATAAGGCCATGGAGTGCTGGCAGGGAAAGTTATTCAGCCCCGCATGTGGCTTCAGAGAAAAATCAGGATCTGCTTCCCTGAGACCTCAGGGCAGGGACTCCTACCTGCCCCAATTTCTTTCTTCTTCAGCTCCAGCTTCCTGCTACACCATGCCCACCTTGCTTAGCAGGCTACCCCACTCTCACACAGACCCCCACGAACTTTCCCCCACCCACTAACCTGTGTTCATCCTCCCCCAGACTTATCTTTTTCCGCCCAGGCCCAGAGGATGTGGTGTTCCTTCCCCAGTCAGGACCAGTCCCTCCTCAGCCTCTGAAACCGTCACCTCCATCTCTTCTGGGAAGGACTTCAACCCCTTCCCGGGCCCTCCCCCACTCCCTTCCCCAGGCCTGGAGCTTAAGGCTCTGGGTCTAACAGTCTCACCCCTACCCTTGGCTGTCCAGCCTCTCTGCTCCTTCTCACGCAGACTTCCCAATCCTTCCTTGATCGCTCATCATCCTTGACACCATGCAGCCAACGTCTCTGGCATTCTCTGAAACTTCTCTCACAGGCTCGCCTATGACCCCTTGTTTTCTCAAGTCTGCTCCCCTTTTGGAGACTGGACCTCACGGCTGCTATTGACAGTTGTCACTTCTGCCTTGCGACTCCTCCCCCTTGGATTCCATGACAATCCCCTCTTCTGGGTCTTTGGTGCTCCTGAAGTCCCTGACCCTGCGGCCATCACTGTCTTCACAGGTTCCATGGTCACTCAGAGCAGCAGAGGTCTGTCAAGCTTCCCTTCTTTGGCTGGCACCCATCCGTAAGGGTGCGGAGGGTGTTGGCTGCCAGCAGTTCTCTCTTCACAGGACAGTTGTCCTCAGCAGACAGGGACCTCCTTGCCTGGAAGGTCACCCACCCCCACCCCCACACACACATGCACCCCTGCCAAGGATTCACATTCAAAGACTGATTACTAAAAGCCACCAAATGACAGCCTTTATTTACTGCAGTGTGGTCAGCATCCTCTGTGGGTCCGGTCGGGGCTGGACTTCATCTGAGGCCAGA